GTTAACTTTGGTGTGAGAGATGTCAAGGACTTCAACCCTTGAAGGTTGTCCTGAAAAATAAAACAAGATGCTTTTAATGAAGGACACGGTTTTGGTGAGTCAGCCGACTGTCCCTTGTCCATCTAGCATCTATAGCTAAGATGGACGCCAAAAAATGTTACATAAACTAAAAGTTAAAATGGATGGCGAAGAAATGAATTCAAAAATTAATATAATATTTATATATTTTTTTAAAAATTCCACATTTAGATCATTGTTATGGTTGAGATTATTGAACTTTAAAATTTTAGATAAAAAATACATCTTTGAGATATGTTTTGTAGGGAGATGACATAAAAATAATGTGAAATCGGCCGACTGACGATACACTTTTCCTTAAAGAAGGCACGATCCTTGTCCCTTGAAGAAACAGTTTTGTTGTAGAATTGGGGTTGCGTTTGAGTAGTTAGCCGTTGATGTTAGCAATGCTAAACACTAAATTCGATTAACTACATAAAAGAATAAAAAATAAAAGTAAATACAAATAATTTGATTAACTACATAAAAAGAATAAAGAATAAAAGTAAAAACAAATAATTTGATTAACTACATAAAAAGAATAAAAAATAAAAGTAAATAAAAATAAGACCCACTCGAGAATCCCTATCCATTGTGTGGACCTTTCATGCTTTATCCCCTTACCTCCCTTTCGGATGGGGCATATATTATTCCTCACCCTTATGGGCATGGAAATGTAATTTTGCGCTGAACAATGATTCCTTTGCACTGAGATTCTGCAGGAAGGAGAGAGAGAGAGAGAGAGAGAGAGAGAGAGCACTCTTTTTATTTGTATTAGCATGTGACCTAAGAACCTCACATTCATGATTATTCCATGCACTAAATGACATTTACTTGCAAACAAATATGGAGAGAGAGAGCTTTTTTTCTTGTCTTAGCAGAGTGGAATCTCACTTCATGATTATTCTATGCACTAAATGACATTTCCTTGCAAACAAATATGAAAGAATATTACATCATGAAAACTGTGAAATGAGAACATTAAGGAAAACATAAGTCATGAAAGCCCACAAACTACAATGTGGAGAGAAGTAATAGAAATGATGTCGCCTTGTGTTGAAAACATAGAGCTTCTTGGTCAATATTGCCAGCCATGCTTTGGTTCTTTATGTTTCAATGGCATGTGATCATCCCTAAAAAAATAAGACCTCGGACTTCTCTTTGCTGGTGGGTGAGGGCATGAAACATGCAAGACAATAATATGTTTTCAGGGATGGTACACGATGAGACCATTTATCGTTGGAATATGCACATCACAATTATTTATAACCATCCGATGTGAAATTTGATAGTCCGGGTGGGTCACAGATTTCAATTTTTTTTTTTTTTGAACTTTGAGCTTGGTTAGTACAATTATTGCAGCAATCCAATTTTATATCCACTGGCCAAATTAATTGTGACCACCTTGTACAAAAGGCAAATGATCTTGTTGTATACTTTTCCGTTAAGGTAATTCAATAATAGAAATCGAGCTTGAGAGAGCATTGATAGAGGTTACTTACTAACCTTGGCGGGTTAGGTCAGCAAGGAGAAACAATTTGTTTGACATTTACTATGGCATAGCACAATTTACCATGGTACCCTACTTACCATTAAACTACTGCTCTAGGTCAGAGTTTACTCAAATTTTCAAGAGAAAGTCATGCACCTCAATGGTGATACCTCGTATGCAATCCCTATGATCGAATGGGGGAAGATCCTGTAGCACGAAAAGTGCAATACTCTATTGAATTTTCTTTCTATCTTCAAATGGGCTTCAAAACAACGATAAAGTTAAAGAAAAATAAAAAAGACTTTGCTATCTATAATTTTTTTTGGGCAATTCAGCGGGAAAGACATGTTCTTACCCATTATTTCATGTAGTTTAGTAGTTTTTGAAGGTGTTAGTAGGTGGAAATGAAAATCACAAGGTACTGAGTTGATTATTTCCAACTATGAGTACGTAGAGGTGATCGTGTGTTAGATTTGAAACCACCCCTATCTCAATATGCCTATTCTAAGTGTAATCCTATTTAAAATTAAGCTTGGCAGAAATATCCCATGAAATAAACTTATTAGAAAGTAATGCCAAATTATTTCAAATCACGCCCATTTCAAGGCATCCCATTTTTTGGGTTTCCCATCATCCAATGGAATAAAGGGAAAATTTTAAATTAAAAAGGAATGGGTGGCTTTGTCACAGAATTTATGATATTTTTGGGAATAATCACTAGCCCAAAATAACTTTTCAAACCACAAAATGTTAATTAGCATTGCATGACGATTGGAATGATATTAGCTCCTATTTATTTATTATTTATGTCATGTCAAATGTTCTATAGGTACAAAGGATTCAATGTTCGAATCTCTTAACTTTGTAGGTTCTAGACGACACGAAATATTTACTTTAATCTGTATCCTTCTAGCCATAATGGGTATTGCTATTTATCTTTCAGTATTAGTTGATAAAGTGGAAGCTATCCTAGCAAATTACTTTCATGGACAGTGTAAAAAAACAAATAATTATTTTTTCCTTTTGAAAGTTTCTTCCCATGCAGACATATATAAACTCCGATCTATCGGT